GGAGCTCCAGTACTGATAAGTAATTCTTGAGAGCATTGATTTGAGTTGAATTGAGTTTCCTTTTGAGCGCCACTTCTTTGAACAGTGAATATCTCAGAGCGTTATTCAGGTCAGACATATGGATCCGGTGGCCAGTCTTCGGACCCTCGATGCTATTCATCACTTTAGCCACCGATGAGTCTTCGGGCTGTTTGTTGGGCGCTATCTGTTGCACGTATTGTCCGTTTTGTTCGCTACTCAGGAGGGAATGGGAGACAAACTGTGATTTGATTCGTTTGACGTATTGTTCGCGGATTTCCTTCACAGGATAGTCGTCGGGCCTATCATTCAAATGAATTCACAGATATATAAACCACTTCTGAACTAATTTTGAGTAATTGGTCTCACGTTTGAAAAATTTTAAACTCATAGTCCGTGTTATCAATGGTCAGCAAAATCGGTAATTTATAGCTCTTTATATTTTTGGGAAGTATTTCATTCAGAAGTGCTTCACTGGTGTCCAGCATTCGTAATACAGTGACAGATGACTGGTATGCACTAATGTCGAGAATTATCTGCAAATATTGTGTTAATACTTCAGTAATTAGCGATCAAATAACTAAAAGTCAAACCTCTTGGCCCACAAACGACTTCTCCTCCTCGACCACCACAACCACAGGAATGCCTTTTTCAATGGGAAGTAATTTGATGAATAGGTCTTTGGAAAGGGCAGACACGGGCATCAAGTCTGGCCATTGACGGGGCACTCCTTTCACCCAATTGTCTGTAATCCATTTGATGACACCTTTCTGTAGGCCTTCCGATGTCCTCTCATCGGCTGTTAAGACATGAATACAATAATTAAAGACAAATGCAAACCAATCCAATGGTTCCAATGGTGTCAATGAGTGCTAATGAGTGGAAATACCCTGGAGTTCATTGCCCTTATCATCGGGTTTGGGACTAAACCAGTAGAGTTTGAGCGTCGGGTAGACATTGATGTCCATATGCCGGCATAACTTGGTGTTCATGTCTTGAGCGCAGTCCACCACACGGATGGCCAACACGTGCCTCCAGTGGTGCAACTGTT